AAAAAAAAAGAGAATTCGAAGTCAGCGTTATGTTTTTATTTTTTCTCAATTTTTATTATTTCTGTGTTTGACCCCGGCAAACGTCTATATGTATGTGTCTGGGAAGTTTATCAGTTTTGTGGTTTGGATAAGCTACGATTTCTGTAGAGAATACGTTGTTAAAGTTGATTAATGGCATCGATTGTTATTTGCCATGAAAGTTTTACATCCGCACTAAAATCAGGTGTTATCTAGGTTTTCCCTTATTATTATTTCTCCGAATGTTTTACAACGCTATGCAAAAGGAACATGTGATTGTTCAGCTTTTTCAATTGAACGCCATATGCATAATTCAAAAAACCTTACTTTTTAGGAAGGTCGCATTGAGGAAGACGCAGCAATTCGAATTATACAGGAGTGTACAGCATTGTTTCGGCAGGAGAAAACTATGCTAGATATAGAAGCACCGGTAACAGTTTGCGGTGACATACATGGACAATTCTATGACCTCATGAAATTGTTCGAGGTTAATTTCTTCAGAAAAATTTTGTCTTTTGATCCTTGTTTTAGATTATTTTTAACGCTGCTTCAAAATTACCAAAATTGAGTTCAATCTAGGTCGGTGGATCTCCAGCCACAACTAAGTACTTATTCCTTGGAGACTACGTAGATCGAGGGTACTTTTCGATTGAATGCGTTTTGTACCTTTGGGCGTTGAAGATCTGCTATCCGAACACGTTGTTCCTTTTGCGAGGGAATCACGAGTGCCGCCACTTGACCGAGTACTTTACTTTCAAGCAGGAGTGTGAGTTCTGGAATTATCTGTTCGGCATCGAGTCTTTAATGTTGCATTTTGACATTTATGAATAAAGACCATTCGAGGTTTTCCTCTTTGCTTCGAAAATCATCAGTCTTTGTTAAGATTTGGTGTCGACCTTAGTCAGCCTTTTCTAGCTCTTTTCCTCCCGCAGCTGATATTGAGCTAATCATCTTATGCAACTAATATACGTCCGTCGTTTTGTCTTTCTCTTGCATGAGCGAGCACT